CACACACATAAATTACATAGTGACATAACCCATAACATTACACACAAATGAACTGTATTTTGGCATAACCCATAACACTACGCATTAATAAAGAGTATATAAGTCTGTCCCCTATTTAGTTACATCCACAGACGTCAACGCACCCCACCCACACCCCCACACCCCCACACACCGACTACAGTATGCTCACAGATATGTTGAACCGTCTTCAAGTAACAGCCCCCCCCCCCCTCCAATCTTGTCATAAAATAACAACCCCCCCCCCCCTCAAATTTGTCATCAAACCAACAAATCATTAAAAGAACAAAGCTGACAAATCCAACATAGCAACGAATCCAACAAAGAAACAAATTTAACAAAGAAACTAATCTAACAAAGAAACTAATCTAGGAAACAAATCTAACAAAGAAAATAATCTAACTAAGAAACAAATCTAACAAAGAAACAAATCTGTCCATTGACAGTCAATGATTCAGACACTGATGTCAACAAATCTCTCTAATCTGGGGGCGGGTATTTAGTTTCATCGAGTGCGTGGTTGCAACTGTTTATCTAATCCTGCACTTAATCCTGGGACACAAAAACTACTTCAAGTGTAAACACACTTAAAGATTGGACACTAAAAATAGCTGCGCCGGCGTTGTCACGTGATATTGTATTGTGTCGTCACAACCTGCTGTGACCAAATTTTAGGTCAACGTAACCTACCCGGGATCTAGTTCCGGGTTTTTCCGTTTGTGCCTATTTATAGAAACTTTTAATTGCCCTTTAAAAGGCATCAAAGGGCCTGTCATACATGTCTTCACGTATTTTTACCCGTTTTAACACCTGGTATAGTATATATACTCCTCGATACAAAAACAAAATCCACATCCATATAGGCAAAGTTTCACCACTGCCCCTAAAAATACCCCCTTCCCAAAAAAATACCACTAAAATATAACCAGTAACAAAACTAGTTTTTTCAACTTTTTGTTGTAGTTTTTGTTGTTGTTGTGAGAAACAACATATTCGCAAAACCTAATTTTATTTTTAAACTCTATTCGTATAGCCTTTCTTCACTAATGTAACACCCCCCCCCCCCCCCAACACCCACCCATTAAAAGTGTGACATCATTTATTGTAACTCCCATACTGTACGTATTATGTTTTAGTTTCGCCACGTTTTACCCGTTCTGTAAGATACAAGACCTACTACATCTAAGATACAAGACCGACTACATTAAATATACAAGACCTACTACATCTAATATACAAGACCTACTACATCTAAGATACAGGCCTACTACATCTAAAATACAACAACTACTACATATAATATACAAGACCTACTACCTTTAATATACAGGACCTACTACATCTAAGATACAAGACCTACTACATCTAAGATACAAGACCTACTACATTTAATATACAGGACCTACTACATCTAAGATAAAAGACCTACTAAATCTAAGATACAAGGCCTACATCTAAGATACATGACCTACTACATCTAAGATACAAGACCTACTACATATAAGATACAAGACCTACTAGATTTAATATACAGGACCTCATACATCTAAGATACAAGACCTACTACATCTAAGATACAAGAACTACTACATCTAATATACAGGACCTACTACATCTAAGATAAAAGACCTACTACATCTAAGATACAAGACCTACATCTAAGATATAAGGCCTACATCTAAGATACATAACCTACTACATCTAAGATACAAGACCTACATCTAAGATACAAGGCCTACTACCACGAAGATACAAGACCTACATCTAAGATATAAGGCCTACTACCACGAAGATACAAGACCTACATCTAAGATATAAGGCCTACATCTAAGATACATGACCTACTACATCTAAGATACAAGACCTACATCTAAGATACAAGGCCTACTACCACGAAGATACAAGACCTACATCTAAGATATAAGGCCTACATCTAAGATACATGACCTACTACATCTACGATACAAGACCTACATCTAAGATACAAGACCTACATTTAAGATATAAGACGTACATCTAAGATACAAGGCCTACTACCACGAAGATACAAGACCTACTACAATATATCCTAATGTAGCCTTTGTTTTACCCCCAAGGTTTACACCTCGTTAAATAAAGTTTTTATTGGCGCCTGGATCGTTGACCTCCCGCACGAGCTAATGCTAATGTGTGTTGTTAAGTCTAACCTAAAATAGAACCGATCGTAAACTGGCCGTTTACGTTGTAATATGACCAGCCAATGTCCGATGTATATCTAGGTTTTTCAACTTGGTTCAGATAGAACAGAAAACGTAGTTTGTGTGTGAGTCAGGTTTAAGTTTAAGTCTTAGCCTGAGGATTCGGTGTCTGATCCTGTTCGTTGAGCCAAAATAATTTTAAACATGCCAAACTTCAAGCTATAGTCTTATAAATCCAGTTACGTCCCTTTTTGTTATCTCCCTTTATCCACAAATGGACCACCCTGACAAGTCATTAATCCAAGTATTCTCCCATTTGAATTTAGTTCCCTCCCCTATCCCCCTCCCCTCCTTTGACGGAGCAGAATTCGTGAAATCATTAAGTTTCGTTTTCCGTCATCTTTGCGTGTTTGATCTAATGACAATTTCCGCCTGATATCTATGACGCTTGCTGTAATTGATGCTAAATGCCCCAGTCTGATGTAGTTAAGATGGATTTTTCCCGTCTCTTCTAATGTATGCACGCGATTACTGGCCCCGGGAGGTTAAGGTTCATTATCAAATCAACGCGTTCAAGCGGCCAGCAATGTTGGCAGTGGTCCACGACTGAACGGGGTTCGTCGTGTCTGGAGTCACTCGAGTCACGGGAGTCATGGGAGTCATGGAAGTCGGTGTCTGTTATTGGTCGACTGCTCCTGGTTATTACGGAATCCATTGTCTGTTATTATGGGATGTTCTCTGCTATTGTAGGATGCTATCTGGTATTATGGGATGTTCTCTGTTATTAAGGGATGTTCATTGTTTTTATGGGATGTTTTCTGTTATTATGTAATATCCTGCTAGTGTGGGATGTGCTTCTATTATGGGATGTCCTTCTATTATGGGATGTCCTGCTATTATGGGATGTCCTGCTATTATGGGATTTCATTATTGTTGTTATACAGATCTTCCCTGTGGCGCTTCCCTGTGGCGCTTCCCTGTGGCGCTTCCCTATGGCGCAGCCACTCATGGGGTACTTAGTGTCTGTCGCTGACACATTTGGCTGGTGGTGTAGGTGGTGTAGGCTCTGGTGGTGTAGGCTCTGGTGGTGCAGGCTCTGGTGGGCTGGTGGTTTAGGCTCTGGTGGTGTAGGCTCTGGTGGTGTAGGCTCTGGTGGTGTAGGCTCTGGTGGTGTAGGCTCTGGTGGTGTAGGCTCTGGTGGTGTAGGCTCTGGTGGTGTAGGCTCTGGTGGTGTAGGCTCTAGTGGCGTAGGCTCTGGTGGCGTAGGCTCTGGTGGTTTAGGCTCTGGTGGTGTAGGCTCTGGTGGTGTAGGCTCTGGTGGCCTGGTGGTGTAGGCTCTGACTTGTGGGCCTTCGCTATGGCCATTCTGTTGGCCCTCACCAAGGCCATTCTGAGATCTAGTACGTAGCCTGTATACACTACTTACTATATACTAAACAAGATAGGGTAATCTCTTACATGACCGGCGGATGAATGCAACCAATTTTCTTGTGAGAACCCTTGGGAGACGTCCGCCACTGATCGCCCAGAGAAAAGTATAGGCCTACAGCTAACTCTAAACTCGGGGGTGGGGATGGATAACGGCGCGAGGTTCAATATCATGTTTCCTATGGCCTCTGATATTGATTTCTGATATTCCTTGTTGGGACAAGAAGCCCTTGTATAACGTTCGTTACGTTTTACTAATAAAAATGGAGGTTTTCTAACAATCTCAACAAAGAAATGTAACTGTGAAACTAATTATAGTGGGAGTTTTGGGACTCAGTCAATGGCATGACGTAAACCTAAACAATGTTTCATGAGCCTGTTGTCCCAAAGCGTCTGATGTTGTTGGCCCATAGCGTCTGATGTTGTTGGCCCATAGCGTCTGATGTTGGCCCATAGCGTCTGATGTTGGCCCATAGCGTCTGATGTTGTTGGCCCATAGCGTCTGATGTTGTTGGCCCATAGCGTCTGATGTTGGCCCATAGCGTCTGATGTTGGCCCATAGCGTCATGTTGGCCCATAGCGTAATGTTGGCCCATAGCGTCTGCTGTTGGCCCATAGAGTCTGATGTTGGCCCATAGCGTCTGATGTTGTTGGCCCATAGCGTCATGTTGGCCCATAGCGTCTGATGTTGGCCCATAGAGTCTGCTGTTGGCCCATAGCGTCTGATGTTGGCCCATAGCGTCTGATGTTGGCCCATAGCGTCATGTTGGCCCATAGCGTCTGCTGTTGGCCCATAGAGTCTGATGTTGGCCCATAGCGTCTGATGTTGTTGGCCCATAGCGTCATGTTGGCCCATAGCGTCTGATGTTGGCCCATAGAGTCTGCTGTTGGCCCATAGAGTCTGATGTTGGCCCATAGCGTCTGATGTTGTCATGATAACGGCGTAGACGGAACATGTCAAGTCTCCTTTGGCACCAGAGTTTCTTTCAGGCATGTCTTTGATTGCGTGCCCCTTCCCTCCCGAAGCATTTCCTCCTCCCACCCCCGAACGAAATAGTATTTAGATTGAAAGTAAATTCACTTACCTGTGTCCCCCTCACCCCCATCCCCCGGAAAGTTTCAAGTGCACTCCCCCCCCCCCTTCTCCCCCCCCCCCCCCCCCCCCCCCCCCCCCCCGCGGAGAAAAATATCTGGAAAAAAAACTGTTTTTCTTATGGAATAAATGATGATTCTAGTATTTTTTCAGGTCTATGTAGACTAGAGTTAGTAGTCACTATGGATCCCAGTACTGGCACAATTTTTAAAAAATCTATTGTTCAGTTAAACTATATGTTTAAGTTGATTTACTTATCGCAATTTGTTTGAATTCGTTCCCAGGGTTTTGATTGGTGCACCACGAACTCACGTGCCCGACCTAGGAGCGCGTGGAGTCAACAACAGCGGCGCCGTCTTCCGGTGTAAGACGGACACCAACAACTGCCACAGGATACCTTTTGATAAAGACGGTGAGTTGTGTGGTGTGTGAGGTGTGGTGAGGTGTGGTGGGTGTCGTGTGGTGGGTGAGGTGTGGTGGTAAGGTGTGGCGAGGTGAGGTGTGGTGGGTGTGGTGTGGTGTGTGAGGTGTGGTGGGTGTAGTGTCGTATCTGTGGTGGGTGAGGTGTGGTGGTAAGGTGTGGCGAGGTGAGGTGTGGTGGATGTGGTGTGGTATGGTGGGTGTGGTGTGGTGTGGTGGGTGGGTGTGTGCAACAGGATACCTTTTGATAAAGACGGTGAGTTGTGTGGTGTGGTGGGTGTAAGGTGGTGGGTGTAGTGTCGTGTCGTGTTGTGGGTGAGGTGTGGTGGTAAGGTGTGGCGGGGTGAGGTGTGGTGGGCGTGGTATGGTGGGTGTGGTGGATGTGGTGTGGTGGGTGTGGTGGATGTGGTGTGGTATGGTATGGTGGATGTGATGTGGTGGATGTGGTGTGGTGTGGTGTGGTATGGTAGTTGTGGTAGGTGTGGTGTGGTGGGTGTGGTGTAATGGATGTAGTGTGATGGGTATGGTGAGTGTGGCGTGGTGGGTGTGGTGTGGTGTGGTGGGTGTGGTGGGTGTGATATGTGTGGTATGGTGGGTGTGGTGGGTGTGGTGTGGTGGATGTTGTGTGGTGGGTGTGGTATGGTAGTTGTGGTGTCTGTAGTGTCGGTACTGTGGTATAATGTGATTATCCTTGTGGTCTGATTACGGTCTGATTACGACTCTGACGTGATTATAGCTATGGCATGATTAAGTGATTATAGCTATGGCATGATTAAGTCTGTGGACTGGTTATGGCTTTAACCTGACTATGTGGTATCCAACACAATGGTGCGATGTTTTACAACGTGGGTTAGATTGATGCAAGCCTGTAAACAACCCTAATGTCACTGTAACTAGTTTAAACTGCTGGTAATTGAGTTGCCTCCCCTGGCAACTGGAGCCATAGGTGGAGAGGGAAACTTGATCTCTTGACTTTCTAGTTGTGGAAGTTGAGTACTCAGCTGACAGACTTCACATTTACCCGCCCTTCCCCACCCTTCCCCACCCTTCCCCACCCTTCCTCACCCTTCTTCACCCTTCCCCACCCACCCTCTGGGTTCACCAACAGCTGGTCAAGACGTCGGATTTCGTTAATCTCCTGTCAGGGATTAAAGTGTCTGAGACAGAAGTTCATTAGGAAACTCGGCCAATTTAAACCTATAGCACTGGAAGTAGATTGTGTAGTTCAACTTATTTGAATTGGCCCAACTTATTAGAATTGGCCCAACTTATTTGAATTGGCCCAACTTATTATAATTAGCCCAACTTCTTTGAAGTGGCCCAACTTCTTTGAATCGGCCCAACTTCTTTGAATTGGCCCACCTTATTTGAATTGGCCCAACTTATTAAAATTAGCCCAACTTCTTTGAAGTGGCCCAACTTCTTTGAATCGGCCCAACTTATTTGAATTGGCCCAACTTATTTGAACTGGCCCAACTTATTTGAATTGGCCCAACTTAATTGAATTTGGCCCACCTTTTTTGAATTGGCCCAACTTATATCACGAAATCTTGGGAAAATTTGTTATACTGCCCACCTTGTTATATGAACCAAAGTGTTATTATGCCCACCTTACCTTAACTGTTATAATGCCCTCCTTATCTAAACTAACGTGTTTTAATGCCCACCTTATATAAACCAACGTGTTATAATGCCCACCTTATATAAACCATCGTGTTATAATGCCCACCTTTATATATCGCAGGGAACGAGCGAAAGTACAACCCCATCAGGCGAGTGGACGAACAGCTGGAGGAGAAATCTGACCAGTGGTTTGGTGCTACCCTCAAAAGTTCAGGGGAGAATGGCTACATCGCGGTAGGTTTTATTTGGTGCTACCCTCAAAAGTTCAGGGGAGAATGGCTACATCGCGGTAGGTTTTATTTGGTGCTACCCTCAAAAGTTCAGGGGAGAATGGCTACATCGCGGTAGGTTTTATTTGGTGCTACCCTCAAAAGTTCAGGGGAGAATGGCTACATCGCGGTAGGTTTTATTTGGTGCTACCCTCAAAAGTTCAGGGGAGAATGGCTACATCGCGGTAGGTTTTGTTTGGTGCTACCCTCAAAAGTTCAGGGGAGAATGGCTACATCGCGGTAGGTTTTGTTTGGTGCCATCCTCAAAAGTTCAGGGGAGAAAGGCTAAATTGCGGTAGGTTTTGTTGGCCCTCAAAAGTTCAGGGGAGTATGGCTAAATTGCGGTAGATTGGGCTTTTGTATAGGTTGTATGGTTGGTTAGGTTTCTTGTAAGTGAGTACACAAGACAGATCAAATCTCACAGCTAGCTAGAATGTAATTGAGTGACATATCTCACAGCTAGCTAGAATGTAATTGACAGATCTCACAGCTAGCTAGAATGTAATTGACAAATCTCACAGCTAGCTAGAATGTAATTGAGTGACATATCTCACAGCTAGCTAGAATGTAATTGACAGATCTCACATCTAGTTAGAATGTAATTGAGTGACATATCTCACAGCTAGCTAGAATGTAATTGACAGATCTCACAGCTAGCTAGAATGTTATTGACAAATCTCATAGCTAGCTAGAATGTAATTGACAAATCTCACAGCTAGCTAGAATGTAATTGAGTGACAGATCTCACAGCTAGCTAGAATGTAATTGAGTGACATATCTCACAGCTAGCTAGAATGTAATTGACAGATCTCACATCTAGTTAGAATGTAATTGAGTGACATATCTCACAGCTAGCTAGAATGTAATTGACAGATCTCACAGCTAGCTAGAATGTAATTGAGCGACATATCTCACAGCTAGCTAGAATGTAATTGAGCGACATATCTCACAGCTAGCTAGAATGTAATTGAGTGACATATCTCACAGCTAGCTAGAATGTAATTGAGCGACATATCTCACAGCTAGCTAGAATGTAATTGACAGATCTCACAGCTAGCTAGAATGTAATTGAGTGACAGATCTCACAGCTAGCTAGAATGTAATTGAGTGACAGATCTCACAGCTAGCTAGAATGTAATTGACAGATCTCACAGCTAGCTAGAATGTAATTGACAGATCTCACAGCTAGCTAGAATGTAATTGACAGATCTCACAGCTAGCTAGAATGTAATTGACAAATCTCACAGCTAGCTAGAATGTAATTGACAGATCTCACAGCTAGCTAGAATGTAATTGACAGATCTCACAGCTAGCTAGAATGTAATTGACAAATCTCACAGCTAGCTAGAATGTAATTGACAAATCTCACAGCTAACTAGAATGTAATTGACAGATCTCACAGCTAGCTAGAATGTAATTGACAGATCTCACAGCTAGCTAGATGTAATTGATTGACAGGCAGCCACTTAAGCCAATGACGCACCCTGTGACGTCATGACTGCAGGTCTAGCAGTTCCCGTCCCAGTCCTGGCTGCTATAATTAGTGTTGACTCAACCTTTGGGTCAGTGGCTTGTTCAAGTGGCGCCCCCAATCGTCCAATCAGAGCTGTGTCTGGTTTCAGTGGTTTGATCTCCCCTACGACTTCCGGAAAGGCGAGAGGCCTGTGACGTCATGCTGCGACACATTAAGGTGGCACTTTGTGACGTAAGCCATCAAACGACTAAAACTTTTATTTTTACTATGTCCTTATAACGATAATGTTATGTTTAACTGATTTAACTCCCCCAACTCACCCCATCTCCCATCGGAATACACGGTATAATTTAGCCTCACCCCCCCCCCCCCCCCCAACGTTTCCATGTGTGTGCCATTGGACAATGTATTGATCTCGATCTGTCAATGCCGCTGTAGTATTATCGATGCTGGCTAATTTTATTGAATGCCCATGTTTCATTGAATGAGTTGTTTACATTTGTGTGTGTTCCGTGAGTGTTTGGTCACACTACACGTCTACTGTTAAAAGTAGGCTACACTTTATATTTGATGCATGAAGTACACAGTACACACGTGGTATAAAGTACATAGTACTAGTCCCTGACATTAACCCCCCAGTCCCTAATGTTAACCCTCCAGTCCCTAATGTTAACCCTCCAGTCCCTAATGTTAACCCTCCAGTCCCTAATGTTAACCCCAGCCCCTAATGTTAACCCCAGCCCCTAATGTTAACCCCAGCCCCTAATGTTAACCCAGCCACAATGTTAACCCAGCCCATAATGTCAACCCCAGCCCCTAATGTTAACCACAGCCCTTAATGTTATCCCAGCCAGGATGTTAACCCAGCCCCTAATGTTAACCCAGCCACAATGTTAACCCAGCCCCTAATGTTAACCCTCCAGCCCCTATTGTTAACCTACAGTCCCTAATGTTAACCTTTATATTCCAGGCGTGTGCCCTCAGGTACGTGTACTTAGTAGCGTAGCGAGGGGGGGGGGGGGGGCGGGGGGGGGGGGGGCATATGTCCCCGGGCGCCGAGCTTAGGGGGCGCCAAAATGGGTTGGAAAAATAAATTGAAAGGTTGAGGGGGGGGTGCAAATCGAAAGTTTGAGGGGGGTGGGGGTGCAAATCGAGATCTCGAGGGGAGGGGTGCAAATCGAAAAGTTTGTCCCCGGGCGCCGGGAAGGGTAACTACGCCTCTGCGTGTACTTCACCCAGAACCCCCCCCCCCCCCCCCAACCCCTAATGTTAACCCTCCAGCCCCTAATGTTAACAATCCAACTCCTAATGTTGAACCCAGCCCCAATGTTAACACAGCCCCAATGTTAACTCCCCCAGCTCCTAATGTTGAACCCAGTCCCAATGTTAACCCCAGCCCCTAATGTTAACCCAGCCCCTAATGTTAACCTAGCCCTAATGTTAACCCCAGCCCCTAATGTTAACCCAGCCCCTAATGTTAACCTAGCCTTAATGTTAACCCCAGCCCCTAATGTTAACCTAGCCCTAATGTTAACCCCAGCCCCTAATGTTAACCTAGCCCTAATGTTAACCCCAACCCCTAATGTTAACCCAGCCCCTAATGTTAACCCCCCAGCCCCTAATGTTAACCCAGCCCCTAATGTTAACCTAGCCCTAATGTTAACCCCAGCCCCTAATGTTAACCCAGCCCCTAATGTCAACCCCAGCCCCTAATGTTAACCTTTATATTCCAGGCGTGTGCCCCCAGGTACGTGTACTTCACCCAGAGCCCTCAGCCCCTAATGTTAACCCCCCAGCCCCAATGTTAACCCCCAGCCCCTAATGTTAACCTTTATATTCCAGGCGTGTGCCCCCAGGTACGTGTACTTCACCCAGAGCCCTCAGCCCCTAATGTTAACCCCCCAGCCCCAATGTTAACCCCCCAGCCCCTAATGTTAACCTTTATATTCCAGGCGTGTGCCCCCAGGTACGTGTACTTCACCCAGAGCCCTCAGCCCCTAATGTTAACCCCCAGCCCCAATGTTAACCCCCCAGCCCCTAATGTTAACCCTTATATTCCAGGCGTGTGCCCCAAGGTATGTGTACTTCACCCAGAGCCCCCAGCCCCAATGTTAACCCCCAGCCCCTAATGTTAACCTTTATATTCCAGGCGTGTGCCCCCAGGTACGTGTACTTCACCCAGAGCCCCCAGCCCCAAATGTTAACCCCAGCCCCTAATGTTAACCCCCCAGCCCCTAATGTTAACCTTTATATTCCAGGCGTGTGCCCCAAGGTACGTGTACTTCACTCAGAGCGCCGACAAACGTGAGCCGGTCGGGATGTGTTTCCTGTCCAAGTCAAGCACCACCGTCTTCGAGAAGTACTCACCCTGCAAGATAGGTAACACGCATCGTCTCCCTCCCTCCTCCCCCCTCTCTCTCATCTCTCATGTGTTTCTATGCATTACGTCTCACCTGAGCTCGCCCTAGTTAAGTCTTTCTAGACTGCAGTTGTAGGATATTTCTTCTCATTTGCTTGATGATATGTTTCAATATTGTCATCTATGGATTATGCATTACCTCACCACGACAATGCATACACAATCATTCAGCGTTACTAACATAAACAATCATTCATAACAAATATGTCTATGGTCAAACACCTATGACAATGTCTTTGGCCAAACACCCATGACATAATGTCGATAGTCAAACACCCATGACATAATGTCTATGGTCAAACACCCATGACACAATGTCTATGGTCAAACACCCATGACACAATGTCTATGGTCAAACACCTATGACAATGTCTTTGGTCAAACACCCATGACATAATGTCGATAGTCAAACACCCATGACATAATGTCTATGGTCAAACACCCATGTCACAATGTCTATGGTCAAACACCCATGACACAATGTCTATGGTCAAACACCCATGACACAATGTCTATGGTCAAACACCCATGATATAATGTCGATAGTCAAACACCCATGACATAATGTCTATGGTCAAACACCCATGACATAATGTCTATGGTCAAACACCCACGACATAATGTCGATAGTCAAACACCCATGACATAATGTCTATGGTCAAACACCCATGGCATAATGTCTATGGTCAAACACCCACGACATTATGTCTCAAGCACCTATGACACAAGACAGAGGTGTATATTTCCTGTGTTAATGTTGTTTGTTTGATGCTGTTAATTAGACCACTGCTTGTTGTGTCTGAATTGTCCCCCTTGTGAGGAGGACAGTCACTGGTTTGTCTACCCCCACTCCGCCCCCTAGTAAGGAGGATGGTTAGTGATTGTGTCCCCCTTGTTATGAGGCTGGTGACGGCTGTTGTCCCCCTTGTTATGAGGCTGGTGACGGCTGTTGTCCCCCTTGTTATGAGGCGGGTGACGGCTGTTGTCCCCCTTGTTATGAGGCTGGTGACGACTGTTGTCCCCCTTGTTATGAGGCTGTTGTCCCCCTTGTTATGAGGCTGGTGACGACTGTTGTCCCCCTTATTATGAGGCTGGTGACGGCTGTTGTCCCCCTTGTTATGAGGCTGGTGACGACTGTTGTTCCCGAATATTCCTGTAGCAAGTGTGTAGAGACCAGATTCTCTCGTACATCGGTGTGTCAACACGAACACACGTATACACACGACTAGTGTAGTGTTACACTTACTGCAGTGTTTACGGTAAATGGAAAATAAAAGTAACATGTTTTTCTCATTTATGGCGGAATTTTTTTTCCAGAGAAATAAGCACTTAACAAATTAGGACAGGGGAATACGCAAGGGGGGTGGGAGGGGGGGGGGGGTAATCTAGGGTAATTATGTCAGTGCACCGTTGTGGGAAATTGGACATTTTCTGCAGTACTTCCGGTTATTATTTAACTGTTGTTATACCCCAAAACTCATAAGAGTTCGTGTTCTAAATATAAAACATGGGAGACCACCGCATTTATTGAACTCCATTTTTCAGCAACTTTTCCCGTGTGCTATATGGCAGGACCGATAACTCCGTACTAATGTTGCTTGAATTAGTTCCCATGATTGATAGACCCACCGCCAGTTGCCATGAATGGAAACCGATCCATTCACAGCCTCCAGCAGAACACACATTGTGCATTTAGTCTATTTTGATGTATAGCACCCCTCCATATTTTCATGCCTACCCCCCTTATTTATGAATTCTGACCATTGTTTGATTAATCACAATAATTACCCATTAGCTATCCGTTTATTAGCATAAAAACAATGACACTGGAATATGTATTGTGTATATTGTATTCCACTAAGTGTGTAGATGATTAGTTCCCTTGATTCTGCTCAGAGCACGTAGTAGGCCAGATAAACAAGCTAACAAAACAAGCCAAAGTTTAAACTTATTCTTGCATGACGTCTTTGAAGATGTTGTCCAGGAGCGTTTATAGTCGCACGTTAGCATGACAGTCAAAACTAATACTTTCAAATACTTTACAGCTTTGTTAGTTTATATTACCATGCTTTTTTATTTTAAAATTTAACTTTCATATAAATTATTTTAATAGGTATAATATTTAATGTAGGTTTATATTTTAAAAAAAACAACCTAAAAAGTAACCCAAACAATTTTAACAGTTTATATATTTATCTTTATTTTTTTTTTTTTTTTACACTGAATGGGTTTTTTATTTGCTTTGACTTGATTGATTTTTTTTATTGCTTTGATTTTTAATATCACTTGAGTTTCTAGTCTAAAACTAACCATCGATTCGTTTTGCATGGGGTATAGTGGCTGACCAATCGATCATCGTTGACCAATATCACCGTCAAGGTTACTGCCAAGTTGGTTTCTCAGCCATTTTTTCCCATGTAAGTGTGACCGGGCCATATTTTTCATTTACCTCAGGTATCAACATCCGGTATCCACAATATGTCTTCAGGCATTATGCATGCGTAGGAAACAAAACTGTATGAATACCAAAGTAGTTTATATAGACATGTATCTCCCTTATGCAAATGCAGCCTGCAGTTTGTTCTAATAATGTCCAATTTTCATTCACTAGAATTTTTTATTGCTATAAAGTAGCAAAGATCACAACTTCGTGATAGAAACAGCCAGATAAAATACTCTAAATGTGTCCAATATCACAACATATAAGAAAATCATATTAGCATATGTTCTATTTCACGAAATGGGAGATAAGTATAATGTTACGAAGTATGAGTAGATTATAAATACACAAAAACGACAGCTACCCTAATTAAACTCGTTATAATATGTTTATAATATATTGCTTGAAGTTATTAATTATCGATGTGATATTAAGGTCGCGCATCTATAAAACAATAGAAATTCTCACCAAATTTAATCTAATCCACATTCCGCGAACCACAATAAGTCATCTGGTTTTACGGCTCATCGTTTGGCTTTTAAAACCCGTTCAACACAAATCAAGGTCACCACTAAAGGCGATCACCCTAACGGAGGTCACCACTAAAGGCGATCACCCTAACGGAGGTCACCACTAAAGGCGATCACCCTAACGGAGGTCACCACTAAAGGCGATCACCCTAACGGAGGTCACCACTAAAGGCGATCACCCTAACGGAGGTCACCACTAAAGGCGATCACCACAAACGGGAGTTACCACAAAGGGCGATCACCACGTCCGGAGGTCACTATAAATGAAAATCACCATAATCGGAGATCACTACAACTGGGTTTACCACAAACGGAGATCACCTCAATGACCCAAAGACAACACAGAGTTCAAATTCTTCTTGTGTATTTTGTCTTAACAGATGGCACGTCTTAAATTATCAGGAATACAGTAGAGGACTTCATTGAAGCTGTTCAATGTAGACTACAGCTACTGGCTTAATCAGCTGAACTTTGTGGACATCACAAATCCTAGTCAAGGCGTGGTTAGTTTAATGTCCCCCCCCCCCCATGTTATGTAGGTACGCCACTGTCCCCTCCCATGTTATGTAGGTATGCCACTGACCCCTCCCATGTTATGTAGGTATGCCACTGTCCCCTCCCATGTTATGTAGGTACGCCACTGTACCCTCCCATGTTATGTAGGTATGCCACTGTCCCCTCCCATGTTATGTAGGTACGCCACTGTCCCCTCCCATGTTATGTAGGTACGCCACTGTCCCCTCCCATGTTATGTAGGTATGCCACTGTCCCCTCCCATGTTATGTAGGTACGCCACTGTCCCCTCCCATGTTATGTAGGTACGCCACTGTCCCCTCCCATGTTATGTAGGTACGCCACTGTCCCCTCCCATGTTATGTAGGTATGCCACTGTCCCCTCCCATGTTATGTAGGTACGCCACTGTCCCCTCCCATGTTATGTAGGTACGCCACTGTCCCCTCCCATGTTATGTAGGTACGCCACTGTCCCCTCCCATGTTATGTAAGTACGCCACTGTCCCCTCCCATGTTATGTAGGTACGTCACTGTCCCCTCCCATGTTATGTAGGTACGCCACTGTCCCCTCCCATGTTATGTAAGTACGCCACTGTCCCCTCCCATGTTATGTAGATACGCCACTGTCCCCTCCCATGTTATGTAAGTACGCCACTGTCCCCTCCCATGTTATGTAGATACGCCACTGTCCCCTCCCATGTTATGTAGGTACGCCACTGTCCCCTCCCATGTTATGTAGGTACGCCACTGTCCCCTCCCATGTTATGTAGGTACGCCACTGTCCCCTCCCATGTTATGTAGGTACGCCACTGTCCCCTCCCATGTTATGTAAGTACGCCACTGTACCTCCTGAGCTCTACGGTCTAACACGAAACTTCGACCCCCCCCCCCCTCCATCCATGAGAACGTGTATTGACACATGCCACATGTGTACACCAACCGCCGTGCTCCCAACCACACACCTCCCACCTCATCAACATGCTTCACACTTGTTCAACGCAATAGTTAGCTCGTCACTCAAGTAGTTCTACTTAAAAAAAAAAACAAATGTCAGCGGTGTAAATGGTTTTTATTTTTTTATTTTTAACGTTAACTGGTGCTGCTTTTTTTTATTCTGCTTCAAACTTTAATAAAACTTCATTTTTAAAAAGATTTCTAGTGTTTGGAAATATTTTGATTTGAACAATTTATGCATGTTGCAACCATAATATATTTTTTTTGCACTTTTGGCTTCTACATTCTGCACATTGAGTATGTAGCATATACACATTTAGTTTTCGTGAGAGCATGCTAGAGTTACGCATTGTTTTGAACTTAGTTGCATAAGTATAGAGCATTATTGTATTGCGCTTTGCTCTGCAGAATACCTTTATGCGCATTAATCTGGAGTTTAGTCGAGGCGCATTAATCTGGATTTTAGTTGTGAGGCGCATTAATCTGGAGCATAGTTGTGTTGCTTTGCTCCTCGTAGAGTTTCAGCCTCCACGAGAGCTTGAGTAAATCTGGGACAAGGGCGGGAATATTGAGTAGAAGACCAAAGTTCTTGATTCATCGGCAAGAAAGTTGGCGGCCTCCGTTGGGTAAACAACGCCACTGAAATGCTGACTTAGTTTTCAAGTGCCAAGAGAGAAGTTGGGCTAGAGTTGCTGGCATGGTTCTAATTTCCAAGCATGAAGATTTGTCTGAACGTTTACATGTACACGTTTTTAGGACTAACAGTAAAACTGATGTTGAAGAAATAGGCCAACAATTTGAAAACAAAAATGTGCCTATTTAATTCAACGTTTACAATACGGTCGTAATGAGATGATAAAATAGCCCATTTAAAAAACGTTGGTTGAGATTCTAGTTCACATTACGTAACTCGATTAGGTTTAGTTTAAGCGAAATATTGTTGAGTAAAGTACAAGTGTGGGAAGGTGGGCGGGCTAGAATCGGGACACACTTGTCATTGCTGCCGCTCAGTGTGCGCACAATATCCTGTATCAAGTTGTGTTGTGTTGTCTGTCAAGTGGTCAGTTCGGCATTTGTTTGTGTTCTCTTTTCCGTCATATCGAATGGAAACTTTCATGACATGTATCATGGCCAACTCCATGCCACTTTTCATTCAAATATATCATTCAAATATAGTAAAACAAGTGTGAAATTTAACAAAAACATGTATTCATTTACACCCAATTTTTATACTGTTAACAAATTAAAACGTTAAACGTAAAGATGCGATTTTAGATCTACGCGATGGAGCTCTAAGGCTATCACTAAATAAAAGACTAGTCTATTCTTTCCACAACTGGGAAAACCCGTTTTCGGACTAGTTTTCCACGCGAAACAGCTTGCCTTCAAGGGCTGAGTTGTTTAGCCAATCAAAGGTTCATGCATCATGTTGCTCCAGATTTTTATTTTCAGTCCACAGCCTCTTGCTCAAGGTCAACAGGATCGCGTCAATATCTAGACTTAGATACGCTTTAGCTTCACATATTCTAGTTGAATTGAAAATTTATATGAATTTAATTCTAATATATTGATCTAAATTTCAAAAATAAATTTTAGGACAAACTTATCTTTTTAGTGGTCAACACTATTTTCCCTTAATTATTATTTTGTTTAATAATTAATAAGCTAATTTGTAATAAATAGTACCGACAGGAATATCCGCTTATTGTTTCCAGTTATGAATTTAACAATTACCCCTCCCGTTAAGATTCGGTATAGCCCAGTTTCACCATGCGTTTTTATAACCGTGAAAAGAGAGTCATTTTTCACGATTTGCTAACACTTGTCTTACAGCGTTACTTTACCACAAATCACCAACAAATTTAACAAGTCTTGTATAATTGAAAGATGAGTAAATTAATGGAACAATTCATGCCCACCCATTGCAGATAGTAAATTTGGTTTCAACCAGCAAGGATATTGCCAGGCTGGCATGAGTGCATCTATCACCAAAGTACGTGAGTCTTCCCGTGGCCATTGTTTGCACCCTTTCCCACCTACCTTTATCTGGCACATATTAACTAAAAGAAGACTAACTAGGCCTAAATAATTTAAATGCTTATTACTTTTAATTAAGGTAAAATATTGAAACAAATAGATCTAGATCTAGTTTTTTTTTCTTTTACAGAGGCCTGTATTTATTTTATTAACACTACATTCTGAGGATCGTATTTGAATTTTGTAAACACCAGCTTTAACCAATTCCATTTTGTAATCAAACTTTAAGTTACTTTAACAGTTAAGGTAGAAAAGTTTGCTGCAAACTGGAATTAGCAATTTGAATATGTATGTTTGAATCTATTACTTAGTTATTACTATTAACCAAAATAAATAAAGCTACCGGAACACACCTTTAATTTAATCATTTATATAGTTCAAGTATTGTGTTGATAACAATAAGAATTTTTAAAATTATGTTGTGCGTATTTCGGTATTGTATTATACTTTATTATATGTGTTGATATTGGACATCTTTGAGTGCATTTACAATGTTATATTGTGGCCTTTTGAACACTTAATGTTAATTGCACAAACTTTCCTAACAAGATTGAAAATATTTTTAAAAAGTGATTCTTGTAATTTAAACATGCATTTTTAAACGTTTAAACCAAGTTCAAGTTACCTACATTAATTTAAAATGCCTAAATGTTGCACATGTATCATATGCTATGTTGCGTAAATTATTGTTTTGTGGCTTGGCTAAATGTGCACCAAAAGTTAAATAATTCAGAATTTAAAGGTTTAATAAATTAATGCATACATATTGTGGATAAATACTATTTCTATTAAGTACATGTGATTATAGCAATAAGTGGATTATCTCCCCTATATGCATAGAGTTCAAATATTTGTGAAAGTGTTTTTACACTTGTGTTTACAAGTTAGAGAATCTATGTGTAAATTTACTAAATTAAAAATTATTCTATACAACAGTTACTAATGTGTACATTTTTTGTTTTAGATTTTTAAGTTAATGTTTATAGTATATATATTTAAATATCTAATTTTAAATATCTCTGAACAGTATAGTTTGGCGTATTTTGAAAATATTTTTCTAGATTTATTGTTCAGATTTTTTAATTGACAGGATGGAAGAAAGCTATTGATCGGAGCACCTGGAAGTTATTATTGGCAAGGTAAATTCACATTATAGATGGATTTTTCAATGTTTTGCTTAAGATAGAAAGTTTAAAAATTTTATTGGTTATGGAATTTTTCAAATTGGTAATTTGTACAAACGTACTCATTTTTAATGTCTCATTTTACTGAGGTCAAAAATATGATTTGTTTATTTGCACTGTATCAATCTTGAGGTAGAAACAAAACCCAAACGTCCTTTACCTACCCAAAACATGTAAGGCTCTTGGAAGAGTTTGGGTAAACTATTTTGGCAGTTACAAACAACCCAAAGACCAACCAAAAATGCAGCTAGAAGACCTATGAACAGCAACTCTGTTATTATGATGCTAATCCTCAAATCCTCATTTTTTATCATTTTTATTTCACTCACATAAACAGTATCCATGTTTTACAATTTATGATGTTGATCACTTGAACAGCTCATGTTTTCCAGCATGTTTTTTTAAAGAAATCTGTTCTCTGTCAAATGACTACTACAGTACTAAAAATCTGTAATTCAACTTTAACAGTTTGTTCATCTACAACATGCAGATGTGTCTGCATTTAAAAATAACCCATCTTTTATATACACCTATGTAGTGCAGAACGACAAATCGGCACAACTAATTTTTATACATTTTATAAAAGTTACAAGCCAGTTTTTACATTCTATAAAAATCTTTCATGAGTCAATGTGTCTTATGGTTGTCTTCAAAGTCTGAGTATTCTCATACCTAGCAACTGCACTGTAAGTAGTGTTAGCATATATGAATCAGTCCATATGAAAGGGCTTCGTTTATTCTACCAGGGCAGGTATTTGAGTTCCAGACTGATTCAGGGGGGAAAAACTACACCAGGACAGGAGAAGGCCATGCAAATAAGGATGATACATACTTGGGTAAGGTCAAAGTGCATGTTTACACTAAACTTACACTTTTTCTTTGAATGTTTTCCTCACAGGTCAGATTTTCCTTTACAACGATGTGGGCAACAAATTGGGGGAGACCAAAGAAAAATCTACCGACAATGATTATGGTTACAAGGGTAACTTCAAACATTTCACATTCATTATTTTTTTACATTTTTCTCTTTCTAGCCCCTGGGTATTGCTGCTTTCAGTCACCTTCTAATGTTCACTTTCTGTTAAACAGTTGCTTTTAATTTTTATAACTTGCTTGGTTTTATTTTTATTACAGTTTTTTTAATTTCATAACAGTCTATTTTTCAAAGGCCTTCCTGGTTATTTCTGTTTCAAATGTTTCTTGCATGACTGGTGAAGGTGACACCATACAAACTGATGTGTTGATTCAATCAAATGTTTTCTATTTGTACCTTCAATTTGCTGATTATTTAATCTATTGGCTTTTCACATTAATATTTTACAGATATAATGCAAATTTACTTTTTTCTAGCTATTGAAATAAAAATATGCATTATATACTTAATTTATTATTGAAATTCGAAATTTGAAATGCTGTTGTTGAAATGTTTTTAGATGTTAAAGAGCCATGTTAGCATTAGCTAAACCGTAACAAACTAATCAGCAACTGCTAGCCAAAAGTTGTATTTATATTTTTGCAAACTATGTCTGACTGTTTATTCATAATGCCTGATTATTGTATTTTACTGTTGTATCTTTTAGTGTAAATATTGTCACATTTTAAGTCAGTGGTATAAGTCTGGCTTAAATGATTTTATTAAATATTTTAGCTGTTCATGATAGAGTGCTTGCTGGTCTGTTGTTGAGCATTCTTTAAAATTTGATATTGCATGAGCTGTTTAGGGCTAAAAAAAAAAAGATCTGCCATTTGAAAAAATGGCTATTATAAGTTTCTTGAAGCTTTTTCATATTTCTGCATCAAAATAGAAAATCTTTTGTTGGAATTTAAAAAAAAAATGAAAAGCTAAATTTTATTGACTGTAGAAACAAGATATCAATACATATAAAACAAAATTACCTTTGGGTAAAAAGAAACTATTTTTTTCTAAAAATCAAATTAGAATTGACTGTAAAAGTTGCCATTTGTAGAATAAAGATGTTAATTATTTAGTTAATTAAATTATTTCCCCCAAAAGCTAATAAAGTCTTAATTTAACTGTTAACTACAAGGGCTTATTAATGTTCTAAGTATCAATGCATAATATTTTTTGTTTAAAAACATCATTCAAGGGGCTATTAGAGGCCTGTTGATAAATGTATAATGTAATCCACAAATATGTTTAGCATTATGTTTGAGTGTAGCATTTATTTACAAATGAAGACTTCAATAAAAAATTTAACATATGCTTACATTTAGGAGTTGAGGTTTTTATCTGAATAACTAGGTCAAGAAATGTTACTGCATTTAAACAGTAATAATACACTTTTACTTACTATATTACAAAACAAGATTTAAAAATAAATAAGAATGCATATGTCCTTTCAGTGTTTCCTTTGTAACAAAGCTAATTAACCTAATTCCAAAGACTGTACAAGCCTTGATTAATAGTATAATTGTACCAATCTAAATAATAATAGCTGTACTTTGCTTAATAACTGAGTATTTGGCTTGATAACTAACATAAAACTAACCAACTTGTGTTGGGTAAAAGAAAATGCTACTATCATTTGATGAGATCAATGAATTATCACAGGATATGCCAGTGCTGTGTTGGAAATGGATGGAGATTCATCCACGTCAGGTGAGTTTCTGCTTCACTCATGTTCTCTTTCTTTTTAATATATAAACAAATAAAAACACAATGTGTGTTGGTTTGCATAGATCTTAAGAAAAATGTTTTTTAATCAATTTTTAAAAATTAAAAATTGTATTAGCTGCAAAGTTTTTTCAATTGTAAAGCAACTAATCAATCTCACTTTTTAATTTTATTTCAGAGTATGTTGTTGGTGTACCCAAGGGAGAGTCCTATCTTGGGAAGGTGAATAATTTTTTTTAAATGGTCAAAGGAGAAATAAATTGTCTATAAAGAGTATGAAAAGCTGTTTTTTTTCAACATTCACTTCATAAATCTAAATAAAAACTAAAAGAATGAAACTTGGTTCACAGGTAGACCTGATTGCAAGTAACATGACAACTATTGGCTTCATAGCTGGGGAACAGGTGAGACTTTTACTGCAGTCTAGAACTATTGTTTGAATTTAAGAACTGTAGTGTTTTAACTAGAATTTATTAAGACACTTTTAAACTTAAGGCTAGTACACTGTAATTAGACCTATTTTTTTAGTGTGTTGAATAAAGTAGGCTACTAGTTCTTGAATGACCAAATTCATCTGCATTTTTCACACGAAAAAGTTTAACATTTTAACTAACTAATAATAACTAATTTTGCTAAATTGTCACAAACAGCAAATAATTGTAAACCAAAATTAAATTTGTCTTTTTTTCTCCTACTCTCTCAGCTTGGTTCATACTTTGGTAGTGCCATAGCAGTTGCTGATTTGAATGGTGACTGGTAAGGGAGAAAACTCAACAATTTTTTCTTTTTTAATTTAAGGGGAACAAAATATGTGAAGACAGTAAAAAAAAATTTTTTTTCCTTTAAACTAACAGGTTGGATGATATTATTGTTGGTGCACCATTGTTTGCGGATGTAAAAGCAGATGCCTTTGACACCGGCAGGGTTTATATTTACTACCAAAGTAGTGATGTAAGAAATGTTTATATATCACCTTTAAAATACTTAAACAGTTAATTTTTTTTCTTCTGTTGAAAGAGTACAATATTTTTAAAATAAAAAAGCAAACTTTTGTTGAACAAAGTTAAGACAACAATATTGTCAGTGATTACCTTCTTTAATTTTATCTGTAAAATTGACTTATTAGTTCAAAAATAGCGTGTCTAAGCAACAACAAATAAAATCTTTGAAGTACAACTGAGAAACTTGCGTGTAACACAACTAAATCTGCTTCATTTGTTGCCAGAGAAAATTTCTCCCGTCATCACCATCGAATGATATTTTAGATGGGCACTCAAGTCAGTCTCGATTTGGAATGGCATTAAGTGGTCTTAGTGATATTAATCATGATGGATATGGAGGTACTTTCACATTTTTTAAAAGATATTTAGTGTTGAATTAAAATTAAATTTTTATACGGTTTCAGTATTAAAATTAGAATTCTAAAAAAAATAGAACTTAAAGAAAAAAAACTGCTTCAGTTTTTCTAATAAATTCAATCAAGCAGTGTCTGTGGTTTTTGTTTGATTTTTAAAAAATATCAAATTTTAATTTTAAACATAATTGAACCTTCAGTTTTTCTTTTGAAATTGCAGATCTTTGTATTGGAGCACCATACGCAGGAGAAGACAAACGAGGAGCCATCTATATTTATCACAGCTCTAAGAGGGGAATCATCAGTGAACCCTCTCAGGTAACAGGGCACTTTAAGCTGTTGAAACATTTCTCATAAGAAGGAACAGCTTCTCCTTCTATAAGGGGGCTACTTTCAACAGATCATTTTGAAACTTTCGCTTGAAGTTAAAAATAAACATTTCATTAAATATCAATACTGCATTTCTCATTCCTAATTAAATAATCATCATTAGCACTGAATTAATCTGGCTTATGCTGCATTTTCCAAGCTAGATAGTTGTTTTATAATTGTATTTTTTTTATACACAGAAATACATTTCAATCTATTAAGTATTAACAATTTGTTTTCTAGATAATATATGCAAAAGATTTGCCAAGCCCACTTTCAGCTTTTGGTATATCAATATCCAGTGGATTAGACCAGGATGACAATGGATATCCTGACCTGCTTGTTGGTGCATATACATCAGATAAGGCTGTATTCTTCAGGTAAAAAATTTTTTATATTGGAATTTATAGTTTACTTACATACTATTTTAAAATTGTTTATCTTTCATTAAATCTTTAAAATGCATCATTGGATAAAACAATACTCCTCCACTTTCAACAAATAGAATTTCATAACACTTTAAAAAATTGTGCTGAACTAACCTTAATTTCTATGTCAGGTCAAGGCCAATTGTTCGTGTGACAGCAAGCCTTAAACTTGATCCAGTTAAAATAGACCTAGAACAACGATCTTGTCGTTTGTCTGATAGCACTGTAGTCACATGGTAGGATTTAGTTTACAAGATACTGGACGTACATAATATCTTACTTATGCTTAAAAATATTTTATTTAACTTATCAAATTGTTGTGATATTTTAAATTAAAATACAGTTGTGTATTTATTCTTTAAAAGGAGCCCTTATTTAGCTAATAAATGTGATGTGTGCAAAACTTTTCTGTAAAGAAAAATATACTTTACTTACAGTATGACAATTTACTATTGTATTGAGTATGAAGGCAATGGGACACCAGATATGTTGCGTAAGTCAACTTATTAAATATTTTCAATGTAAACGTTGGTAGACCTTCTAGATCTATAATATTTATGAAATGGAAAGTCTTGGAAAAAAATGCTTCAATACTTTATGTAAAGAATAATTACTACATATGGTTCTTAAATTTAAGTCAAATGTAAATTATCTGTATTAACAAAAGATTAAATAACATAGGCCTGTTTGATTTGATTTATTTTTCTTTGTTACATTATTTGATTTTCATGTTTTTATTTTAAACTTGAAGAATTGTATTTAGACTCTGCCAAATGGTTTTTATAAAGTAACTCAATAAACTCATGGATTAATGATTAATGAAGTATCTTTATAAAAATGTCCACAGGTTTTGATTTATCCTGGGTTTTAGATGCTAAAGATAACAGCAGCACTTCTAAGGAGCAAAGAGTATTTCTAATTAACAAGAACCACCAATATACACTTCAAACTCCATCAGTAGTAGTTAAAAAAAAGAAAGGCCAAAATGGTTCTCCTATTGAATCTTGTGCAACAATATTTGCCTATGTTAAGGTAAAGTTTCCACTATGTTTAGACAAGCTGCTAAAGCTCTTACATAACTGTTATGGAATCTTGTTTAGTCCAAAACATGTTTCTATTACTAGTAAATAACTTGAAAATTTATTTCTATGAAACAGCTTTTTTTAAAGTTTGTTTAATATTAATATAATAATCGATAAAATGTTATTGATGTATTTGAATCCTTATTGCTAGTAAATCTCAATAAAAATGTTTGTATTGATCTCTCAAAGAATGAACCTGATGACAAACTCAGCCAGATAAGAGTTACATTTAACTTCCAGCTAAGTGAGGACCTTACATCTGCAGCGTCTAGTAATACTCTGCTGCCAATTTTAGATGCTTATATTCCAACAATGACATCAGCAACTGTAAGTTAACTCTATTGTTGACAAATTGACTAACATGTCTTCAGAACATGAAATATAGGCATAGTATACATCAAAATATTTTTGAATGACTTGTATAAAAACTTTATTTCATAGGCTGAAATAAAAAAGGATTGTGGTGATGATGATGTATGTATACCTAATCTAGCCCTGTCAGTAGTGAGGTAAGTCGACAAGGCAACTTACCTAATTTTATAAAAGTTTGATTTAATTGTTGTAAAATAAGTGTTGATGAAAGTATCAAATTTTTTTTTTTAACTTTAGGTCAAATATACAAAATAATTTCCGTTTAAAATTTTAGTTTTATTTCACCTTATGTTGATTTGAGCAGAGAGTGTAATCAAATTTGATCTTAAAATTTAACAGGGTATCAAATGAGCACATAATTGGTACAACAGCAACACTTGAGATTTTGGTCGAAGTTGACAATAAAGGTGAAGACTCTTTTAATACCAAGCTGTGGATTGATCTTCCACCTGGAGTGACATATGACAAAATCTCTAACCAGAGAGCCAGTGTATCTATCAGCTGTGCACACAACCAATCTTTAGTGGTTTGCAATCTTGGGAACCCTTTACGAAAAAATGCAAAGGTTTGATTATTTTCTATTCTAGTGTTTGTTCAAATCTGCAAATTACTATATTTAATGCTAAAAGTAATGTAAATACATTTGTAATAACTTCAGGATTTATTATTCCTATTTGTTTTGGTTGTTCTCTTGAGGAGAAGTTTGAAGAACATTTTATTGAATTTAAAACCTGTTGGTAAAAACTGTCTGAATCTATTATATCCTCTTGTTTTACTTCATTGCTGATGATTAATTTTGTTAATTTAAAATATTTTATGAAACTGAACCTTAAGAAATATTTTCAAATAATATATTCCTAATTGATAAACCTATTATTCTATTTTGTTACTTTTAGTCTGTTTTCACTCTCATTCTGATTCCTACCAACACAAATGAAACCAGAGAACAGTTGATATTTTCTTTTCATGCCAACAGGTTTGTATTTTTATTTCTCAGTACAGAACAAACTAAATTTGCATAATCTTTTAAAAAATCAATTTTAGAGTACTTTTAAAATATTTAATTTTGAATATTATTTTTTCAGTAATCAAACAATAGCTGCTTTGTAAAATAAAGTGATCAGAACATTTAGTCAGATGTAAATTAGAGATTTAAAAGCAAATACTTTATCTGTTTTTTTATATTTTTTGTTCATAACAAACAATTTAATTGAACACATTTTCAACTCATCAGCTCCAATCAGGAATTGTTTGAAAATTATAAAGATAATAGCGCAGTCGTTGATATTCCTGTCACTGCCTCGCCAGATATTGCATTATACGGGTAAATGAGCTGAGTATTATTTTGTATGTTCTTATCAGACTTCAGACTTTATCCATATTAAAATGCTGTTAAAGTGTTTAACATTACTTATAAAATTAACTACATCAGTACTTGTATCTAATGTTTCAGTAAGCCGTCACCAGAGTTGATTGTTTTAAATACAACTGAAGATAAAGGGGAAGATAAGGGAAGAATAGTCAGTCACTTATTTCAGGTAGACGTTTTGATAACCATTTAGAAGGTTTTTATTTAGATATTAATAAAAATTTTATTTTTAAAAACTTAAGAGCACTATTTTACACAATACATTTTTCAAGTTATTTGCCTTCATCGAAATACCAGTATTCTATAAATTAGGACAATAACATACAAATACTAATTTATTTTAATTGTGATTTTGCTATTTATTATGCACAAGCATAGTAATTAATAAGTGTTTTGAATGTTAATCAAATTGCAATAATACTTATTCATCATAGTCTAACTTGGTGGGGGGGGGGGGGGGAACTTTCTATTATACACATGCACTGATGGGTAAAATTATTCTACACTATGTTCAACAATGTCCATCCATGCTAAGGGTTATTGAGATTTAATTGCATACGCATGTACAACTTTCTTTTGACAATAAGCTTTTATTTATTTCTAGCTGTTCAACCAAGGTACTAGTGCTACCAATGAAACAGAGCTGCAAATTCTCTGGCCTAGCTTTGATTATCTAGGCAATCCAGTTCTGGTTATGGATAGAAACCTGAAGATTGAAGGCAATGGAAAATGCAGTATTATAATCATAACCCCAAACAATGCATCAGTAAGCTATTCATTGTGTATTTAATTACTTTATGAAAAATATTCGCAATTTTTTAAAATAAGAGTAAATATTTGTTTTTAAATCCTTGGTTTGTTTGCAATATTTCAGTGGTAAAAACTAGGCACTAAGTTAAAAAAAATTTTTATTTAATTCATTTCCAATCCATTATTACATATAGGTAATTAAATAATGTATGGTCTTACTATTTTTTCAGCTTTATCCTGATTGGGCTGGAGGCAGTAGTGCTGATCATAGAGAAGCTGAATATGTAAACAGAAATCGAGATTCACAACAAATAGTTAGTGACAGATTTTATCAGTAGCAGTACATGTACACGTTTTGTAAAAATCCTGCACAGCCAGTACTATAGATCATATCTAATATATAAAGCTCAGTTCTGTATGTAATGCATATGTTTGTCATTGGAATTGTATGAATTTAAGTGTTAGAAAATTATCGTGCGCATTTGTCTAAATTTATGAGTTAAAAAATTGCTATTGAAAGTGTTGGGAAATAATTTTCATTTTTCAAATTATAGTAATAATTGTCGGCATGTTCATTAAACACAAGTTTTAAAAAAATATCATCTTTTACAAAAATTCTAATTATGTCTTTATTTAGTCCTATAGCACTTACTTCCCTTTGATAAATTAGGAAAACAAAATTACTTCCCTTTATAAAACCATTGCATTAGTCGAAAATAATTTACTTTTTAATTACTTTGTTTTGGTGTTGGGAAAAAAAATAATTACATAATTAGCGGGGATTGATCAAGTGCAAATGTTGTAGGTATTTTACGGATAAGCTTGGAGTATTAAAATTGTTCATCAAATTGAAACAGGCGCGTTCGTTTAAGTGAGTGCAAAAGACTATGAATAAGTTGGGGTACTATAGTCGTTCATTAAGCTAAAACAGGTGATTCCGCCCAGGGCGTTTATGTTCGCGTTAGTGTTTTCTTTGTGTTTAGGTGGGTTTGCGTTAGTGGTTGCGTTTTGATTTGGTTCGTTTTTGTTCTTTCTTTTTTCGTTTTTGTTTGTGTTTTTTTGTTTGGGTTTGTATTTGTGTTTTTGGTTGGTTTTGGATTTGGTTTGTTTTCGTTTGCTTTTTCGTTGTTTTTTTTTTTTTTTTTTTTGGTATTGGTGTTTGTGGTTGGGTTTGTTGTTAGGTTTTTGTTTTCGTTTGCTTTTTTGTTTGTTTTTTCTTTGTGTTTGTATTGGTGTTTGTGGTTGTGGTTGGGTTTGTTGTTAGGTTTTTGTTTTCGTTTGTATTTGTAATTGTGTTAGCGTTATGTTTGCGTTTTGTTGTTTTGGTTGGTTGTGGTTTGGGTGGGCAATGCCGGGTTTATGATGATTACTAAACACACAGGTAATGGTCTTTAACAGAAAGGTTTTTCACAGAAGCCAGAGCAGGGCCTGGCCGGGACGGCTAGTTTCTAATAAAGTAGAAACTATTTTATATATATATAAGATTACATTTTAACTGCAAATTTTTAAGTTAAGATTTTCGAAGAGTTATTGCTTTTAAAAAATGTCTGTCTAGGTTGGTGGAGTATGATAATAAAAAATAAAGATAGTATATGTTGAACTGTAGTATATAGGCTGTTGCAATAACTCTATAGTCATTAATCAACAACAAGTAATTATTTGAAGTATTGATTAAAGTAAAGTACATCAAATAAAACCATTATACATATGTTATTTTTTTCCCCTCTCTAATTGTAGGCGTGCATACGTACATATTGTACCATAATCCAGTGCCTTGTTGGATATATGTCCCCTCGAGCCAGTTTTATAATTACAATCCAATCTAAACTGAATGTCAGAAATTTCATAGAGGTAAGGAACACTTGTACTGAATTCATACAAAGGCCTATCATTAATCATATTACATGTTTGTAATTATTTCCTTATTTTGTCCAGAGAAGAGAAGACACCCAGATGTATGACATCACGTCTAAAGCAAATGCTCGTGTACGCTCTATTCCATATAACTTTAAAACTGTTGATGCCAGTCGTTTTGAAATTAAAAGATTAGAGGTAATTCAATTTTTAGACTATTTTTTTCTCCTCACATTCACATCAATATAAGATTTATTAGGACATTAAAATTTAAAACTAAGTACTCAAGTAGCAAAGTACAAGTTCCTCTTTAGATCTAGCTATGCTTGGGGATACGAAGTAGATATCAGCATATGAAGGGATAGTGTGGTCAGCGCTATGCGCAACTGCCTTTACTTTCCCCAATGTAAGTCAGGTACCCCTCAGAGCTTGGTGGAATTAGGGACATCTTACAGCCACACGTCTGAACCAAGATCTGAACTCGAGATCTTTGGCCTATCGGCCAAATGCTCAACCATTCAACCACTGCATCCAAAAGTGATGTTAGTAAAAAGATGTCATTGATTCCACTTTATTGTGTTGCTATACAATAAACACCTTGAGGCATTAAACACTTGATACAGAGGTCCCACTTATCATTAGACTGACTCATTATCTACTTTTTATAGTCACTCTGGTAAATATGTCTTTCAAATTTGACAGAAATTGCTTCCACCCTCCTCATGTCCAATGTTTCTTGGTCATTGTAAAAATTTGTATAATGTACTCATGTACAAAAGCTACTTTTGCTAATTATGATTTTTACTATCAAGGTAATGCATGTTTGTATACTTGCAATATGCATTTTTTTGTCTTTAAAATTGGTATACTGAAGAAATAACATCATAGTTAATCAAAAGTTAAATGCAAAATACAATAGAATTTACTTTTAACTCAACCTTTTTTACTCTATTGGAAAATTAAATCATTCATCTTCTTACAAAATAAAGATAACTGCATAAGCAGTGAAAACAATGTCATTAAACCAGCTGATAGTAAACAAGCCCAGTAGACTGAATCTAGATTGGAATGTAATGGAGTGGCAACAAGTCATTACCTAGAAATAATTTTGAACAGCGGATTTCATTTTTTAAAACTTCGTTTGTTTAAAAATACACTTTAAATGTTATCTATAAAAACTGAACTTGATATCAAATTAAAGTAAAAATGAAGTCTTCAAGTATACCAGTTTATTTAACAAAATGAAAGAAAATGTCTTGCAACAGCTTGTTGTCATTTGATTTGTCCAGGTTATTACTAAAGTGAATACCGACCGTCTGAAGCCAGCAAGTAAAGGTGTTGAGATGTGGATCATTGCAGTGGCTGTCACTATAGGCCTTCTCATGCTATTTTTACTTATATTGTTGCTGTGGTGGGTAAGTAGAAATTTACAAAAATATTTCATTTAGGATGCCGGGGTTGTTGACACTATCTCCCTATCCTGTGTAATGTTATAAATTTTATAGACCACCATTCCTAATATTACATAACATTTCAAAAACCAACTGTTCCAAACCAGACCATGACTATGAACTACAAAACTATTTAAATAATTTATTGTAATTTTTAAAAATCACTTGTTAACTCTTGATAATTTATTATTTTGTTTAAAATAAATGTGAAAGCTAGTTGTAACTAACTTTTTAGTTGGCACTCCAGATAACTCATCATGGAAAGATAAGCAACCACTCTGCCCTCTTATGTAATATATTAAACGACCCTTTAGGCATGAATGTATGTTCAAATATATTTTCACATAATAAAATTAATATTAAATCTTTTCATTTTTCAATATTTTATTTGCAGTGTGGATTTTTCAAGAGGAAGAAGCCAGAAGAAGAAGGTTATTTTGTGGTCAATGGAAAATCTTCTGACATTGATAACAAAATTGTTGACTAGATACAATTCAGAAACCTTAAATTTGAAAATAGTCTGACTTAGCTTTACAAAATTTCTTGTAACATAAAGGCTGAGTATTGAAGAAACATTTATAAATGAACCAATACAAATTTAATCATCGCCAACTTTAGTAATGGCCTCAACTTATGCTGGCTGGCTAATTTCAAGACAATATTTTAATTAACTAATCCAAGCATTAATTGGCATTTAGTTTGTTGGCGGCTTTTACAATTTTGAGCAACAACTCTTATACTTAAATAATTATTTCAACAAAGAGAAGAAAATTATAAATAACTCAAAGTGTTTTTGACAAATGTCCTCATAGTTTAAAAAAAAAAGCTTGGCCTACAACTTATTCAGTAAAATATCTGGGTATGTAACCTGAGTACTTGATGACATCTAGTAAAATATCTGGGTATGTAACCTGAGTACTTGATGACATCTAGTAAAATATCTGGGTATGTAACCTGAGTACTTGATGACATCTAGTCAAATATCTGGGTATGTAACCTGAGTACTTGATGACATCTAGTAAAATATCTGGGTATGTAACCTGAGTACTTGATGACATCTAGTCAAATATCTGGGTATGTAACCTGAGTACTTGATGACATCTAGTAAAATATCTGGGTATGTAACCTGAGTACTTGATGTTGGTGTCATGGCATGTTGTGATAAACTGTTTTATGCTTTATGAAGAGAATGAAAGAAGAGTGGCTTGTCATTTTATTTATGATTCTTTGCTTTGATTCACATCATCATAAAACATTTCATTAAGAAATTGAATCCCTTGTTGGTCTGATTTTGCTTTCATCTAAAAATATTTACTGAGAATTGAGACCCATCCTTGGTCTGGAAGATTCAGGTCTGAGGATGAAACGTTTTAGCAGAAATGGCGTCACTTCCTAGTCATGATGACATGTTTTATGCTGGTGTATGTCTCAGCTATGTGACAGTACAAGATTTAGTTGAGCCTAGGTGAGCTTTTTGTTTGTTTGGACATGCAGTTTGATCATAGAAGACATGTACAATTTGAGCAATATGTACCATATTTTATGTTGATTTACTAATGTTGTGTATAGAAGAAAAGTCTGCCTGTCGTGTGTTATCTGTATAATAGTTGTGTGTCTTTAAAAAATTAAAATTCATTATTTCCATTACCATCGAATCTTATATATAGTTCAGTAAGCTTATGATATAGTTTTGTTTATTTATCTACCCATGTAATCAAGCTTTTGTTTTTGGTTGTGACGAAGTCATTCTTTTGTACCAAATATTGCTTCATCTAATTAATAAAAATGAATCAAATGATGTAAATAAACCTTTTTTAGGATATTTGTGAAGTAGTTCATGACTTAGGTTCATCTTAGTAAACTTGCTAGAGCTTAAGTCTTCTCAAGTTGTTTTTAACCAATGCACACAATAGAAGATAAAGGTTCAACAAAGAAGATTCTAACAATTACTGATATTTCTTCATCAGTGTCATTTTGTGTGTGTTTAAAATAAGGTTTCATTAGCACTAAGATAAGAAAGTGATTATATATATATATATATATATATATATATATATATATATATATATATATATATATATATATATATATATATATATATATATATATATATATATATATATATTTCATGAATACATTACGTTTTTTGAAATGGGTTAGGTAATTATGAATTGTATTGCATTCAGAATTTTAGAAATTTCCATTTTTTCAAAAAACTTGTAAAAACTTTTTCCAAGAAAAAACAATTTCAAAAGTTCTTGTGATTGATGTGGATAATGGTTTACCAGCTAAATATATAATTAAAAAAATGGCAAACTACCCTTTAATAATAATAAGTGGTGTCTTCCAAAATAACTTATTTTCATGATAACAATTCAACATTTAAAAAGTTATGTGCCTTATTTTACATGCTTTGTTCCATTTTTAGTTACTGCTATGCATTGGCTTATTCTACTCTTGTTTTTTTTTTAGAAAGCCAGAAATAATTTAGATAGTTAAAATTAAATGATTTTAATCTTCAAGAAAGAAAACTTTGTATATGTGAAGTCAAGCAAGAATTTTGTGTCATTCAATTTCAAATAAATTATCAAGAATACTCATTGTGCATTATGTAATTTTTCTTTTGATGTAATCAACTTGTCAGTTTATTTGTATGGACGTAAACAGTGTAAGACACATGTTGGGCAGTCCAACCTTCCTCATGACAAGGAGAGCAAGAAACACATGTCTCACTACGCCAACTGTATATTTAAATATGTTCAATGGTGCTATTTATTAAATCCCTATTTAATGGAATTCAATATCATGTATTGCTTATTATAAAACTTAACTAGTGTACTTCACTTTTTCTTACGTGTGTACTTGCTGGTCATTGGTTTACTAAAATCATTTTAACTAGTGTAATAATACTTTTGTAAGATTAGAAAGAAAGACTTTTAATTTGATGTTTAGAGGTTCAAGTTTGGATTCAACCTAATTCATTTATCATTAGTTCCATTAACTTGAGCGTGAGACCATTGTAATGTCTGAGCTGTGTATACGTGTAGTTCAGGCATGTTTGCCAGCTGCAATATATTACTTGTGTACTGACATGGACAGCTAATATGATATTTCTGTATGTTGGAAAGTTTCCATCCATAGCTAGTTAATTATGTTATAATAAAATTGTGTTTGACAAACAAGATTTTGTTGACAACTTTTTGTATGAAAGAAACACAAAAAACCAGGATGAAAGAATACAAATGCAAATTGTTTATTTAATCATTCTTGTATAGGTTTATAAAGTAGTGAAACTAAAAAATTCTGCCAAGCTATCAAGTAGAATTGTTTTTCTCTTAACAATAATACATTCATAAATCCATGCCAAAAAAAGTCATTATGCAGTGTTATACACAAATTGAGCACAACTGATATTTTGTATGCTTCATATTTTAGATAGGGAGAATTTAAACATTTGGTAAATTTAATTTCAATCTACTATGCACAAAATAAGAATTTAATTTTAACTTAAAAATTTCAAAAGTGAAGGTAACAAACGTAATAGCCAATAATAAAAGAATATTTTCATATATAGTAAAACATACTTAAGGTTACATCTATCTTTATATATAAATATTTACATACACAATCACTTTGAAATGCTTTTAAAAGAAAAGCAAATAAAGAAATAAAATATGACTCCAGAGAGGGCAATGGTCTACAACTAACATTTAACAGAGCTTGTCAAAGGGCAACTACTAAACAAGTTTTTTTAATTTTCTGCCTGTTATTTTGTTAACTAAAAAAAACATCCTTTTATCAAGTTATAAAAAAATTGAGCAATAAATACAACTGAAATTTGATCAAATAAATATCTGCCATATCTAAAAAAAAAAGTATTTGAAAAGAAAAAATGTGAAGCATAAACAATAAAAATATTTCAAATTTTGAAATACATAGATCTTGATAAATATGTATAGGAACATATACAGAAAACATGTTGGAATGTAGTAGACAATTGCAAATACAAACAGATCTAGTTCATTTATTATAATAATCTGTTCAAAAACTACATTTTAAAAAATATCTGGTATTAAAAATTATGCTAGTAAAACCTGTCACGTTTAAAAATAGAAAACTAAGCTTACTGGATGTAATTAGATACATCACTGTAAATAATATACACATGAACTTAGCAGATTAAAAAAAAAATAATGCATTATATTCTTTAATTCAAAGTTTTTTTTATTATTCCCTAAAGTAAAAACAAGTTTGTAATACTTCAATAGGTTTGTGACCAGCTTCATTGGTTTTAGTTGACAAATATTGCCCATGTGTAAATTATGTATCTATATTATATATAAATATATAATTTATACAGCCTTGTTTATAAAATATTAATTACATTTTAGGTTATTTATATAATTTAAAATGTGTTTGATTGTGCTTTGAAGCTAATTAGCCATTATGATCAGGCATAGCAAATGTATATTGTATAATTGTGGAAAAAACTCTCTTGATATGGTTGAAATATAAAATGAAAGAGATTCATAAATCAAAGTACAGTTTTGATTATACATAAATAAAGTAGTAAATATAGATGTCTAAAGCTATGCAAGTTTATAAATTTGAAGTCAAGCAGTGGAAAATGAGGCATAAAAATATCAAACAGAAAGCATAGAGAATTTGAGATTCCTTGAAGTGGTTGTTCATATCATACACATTTAACAAAGTTAGAAAACCTTCATCAGACATAGCTGCATTTATATAACAAGACATGGCTTGAATCATACTAGACAATTTCAAATAAAACACCCGCAATCAACTGGCAGGTGTGAAAGACGGATAGGATTATAAATTTTTAATTTTTACTTAAAGCTTATAAAAACAATGACAACAAAAATTGAGCCCAACTTTTCCTCACAGTGCCGCTAGTACATGCTAGCTTAAACATTTGAGAACAAAGAAGCACATGTTTGGGTCTTTGATAATAAAGAAGTATATATTAGTTTAGATCAAGAAAAAGATACCAGTTTTGTGGTAAATTATCAAGTTATTCACCAAAATAGGGCTCTAAGAATAAAAGTGTTTAATGTTTTGTTGAATGCAGTACAACTTAACCACAGGAGCAAGCAAAAATGTAATAAAATTTAGGCTCAAGCAAAAACCTAGAGTGTACGTATGCTTGTATAAATCCACATACATGAGTAAAATAATCCCAGCCAAAAAAAATGAGATTGAATGATACTGTCACCACCCCCACACCCATGCTTTATCACAGCGGCTACAAGTGTACAGCTGGCTACTAGATACAAGATATATACACATGATAATACATTGCTCAACAAAGAATAAATACACTGATAAGTACATATTGATTAGAAGACAACATTTTTAAAGTCATTAAATGGAAAATTTCAAGGACATTTTGAGATTAATTGCTTAAAATTAGAATTTGATTGTGATCTTTCAGTGATAGCCTTAATCATGGCATTTTGATTGCAAAAACATTTTTACTTAAAAAAATGACTACCATCCTACTTGGAATTGTCCCTTAAAATTGCAGGTTATGAATGTTTTGGAGAAAAAAAGGAGTGGGTCAATTCAAGACAGGCTAAGACCTAAAAAAATGATTTGGATCTTCAGCAGAATAATGAGGAAGAATGGCTAGATAATATGCAACAACTAGATCTTAATAAGGTGTTTACTCACAGCAATAGTTATACTAAATCTAGGGTTAAAAGTTCTGATAATAAGCTAGTTATTTTAAAAACAGTATTTTGAATTAGGAGAAAATATTTAAAAAATGAAAATGGCTGATGCACAACTAGAAATATATCACAATAGCTTCGTTTGAAATGTCTGCAATACCTTCTTTAACCAACGATGGAAATGAAACATGTAACACATACAGAGCAAGGTAACTTAAAACTGAGCCATCATTTAGTTATAACATTTTCAAGTTTTGCTTCATATTTAGTTTAATTTTGCCCAATACTATAAAAACATACTTTAGTTGTTTGTTCCTAATATTTTTGTAACAAACTAGTACTGGATTCCTCCAGCCAAACTGATATTGTAACAAATGAGATTTAGTTAACATCCTTCTTAACTCAAATATTAGTCAGTTAGGAATCCTTAAGTTTCACTTTCAACCTTGTACTTGGTGCCAGCATCTGAGCTGCTCTTCCAGAACTTTATATTAGCCCTCATCTGACTTGGACGATGCTAAAACAACATTGAAACATGAAACTTTGATAAAACCTGGATTTGCTTCAGTTGTAACAATTGTATTCTTTCACTCAAGGGCTGGTTGCATGCAGACCCATGCTCTACTTGACTTACCTCCATGAGCCACATGCCAGATTTAGATGTTGGGTGAGTGTAAGCATAGTAGACCCAGCCTGCCATAGATGCCAGAAGTGCAGCAATGATAAGGACCACAATCACTACTACAGCAACTGGGAAGTCACTCTTCACATTACAGTTGCCATTCTGAAAGAAAAAAAAAGAACATACCACATACAGTTGCGCACAAAGATGTTTGATTTTTAATTTAAAAGATTGATTGTAATTTAAGGAGAACACAAGATGAACACAATCTATTTCAACAGATTTAATGTTAGGGTTTCGTATTGTATTGTATTGTAAAATAAATTTTAAAAAGAAAACCAATGATTTGTTCATTGGCATAATTTTTACAAGTTTTCTAAAAAAAAATTGTGACTAATTAGTATAAAGATGACTTAAGCTTTTAAAAGTTCTAAAAAACATATAATTTATGTAAATAAAATATTTGGATTGGATATGATGATGATTTGAAGAGCTATTACAACTAAATGAAAAAGCAAAGCAGGCTTTGGTAAACTACAAAAAATTACTCAAGAAAAACTAAAGTTTGAAATGCTATCAAATGACTACAAGCAAGATTTTAAAAATTTCTTAAGCATTAAAAATGAGCTAACAAAACAATAAAAGTTAGTTTCTAAATCACAGCATAGGGTAAATGTAAAATCAATGGTTGGTTAAATATACAAAATTATCTAAAGAATGGATGGATGCAATGGGGTTAAGCAATCAATGAAAAACAAAATATTTCAAGTTTTAGAACACATGATTTGGCATCAAACAGTTCAAGAAAAATCAAAGAATATTGGTGGATCAACAGGTTAAAACCAACTGTAAAAAGTGTCAACAAGCCAAGCAAAAGTTTTCAATCTGTGTGGATGTCTCTCCATGCTGGTGGCCATTCCAATACATACCTGGCATGTTTGATCAGTACTGTCTTGGACAGAATCTGTTAAAGGCTTTTCCGGAGGAGGAAGATTTTCACAATCTTCAGTATCATTAGATTTCTATAATAAAATATAATTTTATGGGCAATCACTACTACCAATTCTCAGGCATTTTTCCATGCCTTCACATTCAATTATAACAAGCTCTATGCTGTGGTAAGTGTATTCAACTCTTGAGTTTGTTCACACTAAGTATTGTAGACCCTATCTAGATGACTGTGTATATAAGACTTTGTATTTCAACAAAAGTTTAAATATTACACAACTGAATTATATTTGTAAAGATTCACAAATTATCTTATTGTTTAAAGGCCAGTCAGTGGAAAAAAAGGAATCACTTTACTTATTACAACTAGCCCTTCAGCAAAAACTAAAAAAAGATAACTGTAGGCTGTAGAAGTCCAAAATGTTCAGGTTAGATAGCTAAAAGGTGTTAGTACCAAAATAAAAAAAAATTATGAGCAAATATGAGCAAAAAGTCACTTATATCAATAACATGTATCTTGTATCCTTAATTGCTATATAGATTATGTATGGGTACTTCAAGTTATAGGAACTGGAATTATATCTGCAGTTTTCATCTTGTTTTATTTCTTGCAGGGATTATTTCCCTTGTGACCTAACTATTTGAAAACATGCAGTTAGCAACAAATTTCACTAGTGCAGCAGAATGTAGATCCAGTTATCTATAAAAAAAACACTATTAAGCTTCAATATAAAATTAAACTCATTACAACTGTTAAAAACTTTCTGATCCCTGACCATACAGCTATATAAGGCAGCATATTTTCAAGCAAATGTTAGGTATTCTAGCAATGTCAAAATGACAGAAAAATTCTTGTTAGCGGAAAAACTGACATTTATTCATGCAAGAGGTCAAGAAGTAGTTATAACTTAAAGAACATTGGTATGGTTAGGAGAAAATCAGTAGATAATTTATTTTTAAAATGTTAATATTAAAATTTACTATCAAAGTTACAAACAAACATTTGATAAAAATGGTTCAAACTATTTCAATTCATCATCAGCTCAACACCTAGTTGCTCAACTCTGATCAAGGGTCATTATATCAATACTTGATACACTTGAAACCTTTCAACACTTCTATAATTACAATGTTATCCAAGGTTTTTCAGATTTAACACTAGTTTTTCTGAGCTAAAAGACAAGGGTTATCTGTACCAAATCCTATCAAACTGTAAAACAGTGTAGAAACTGTACAAGGGACACATATCAGTGCAATATTAAATAGAAGAGCAGCATCCGTCTTGTGAGTGCACACAGAAGAAATAACTTTATGATAAGATGAGTGCAGAGAAAATAACTCGAGTAATAAGAAAAATGGGATGGGAACAGAGATTATTTTATTGATAAGAAAAATGGGATGAGTGCATATATGATAACCGATGAATAAGAAAAATGGGGTGGATACAGAGATATTTAATTTATTGATAAGCAAAATGGGATGGGAGCAGAGATAATTACTTGAGTAATAAGAAAAATGGGATGGGTGCCAAGATATTTACCCCATAGATGTTTGAAGCAACAGTAGTAAAAAAAACCCAAGGAAAATGAAAAAAAGGTCCTAAGCTTTCTTGTAGTGTAGACTTATGTCCCTTGCAACAGCCTTTAAAAATAAAGTTTGAAAAGGTTTGTGTGTCTCAGTACAGAGCTATAAAGAGTGAGTAAACAGGGAAACACATATTTCTCAATAACAGTAAGAAGACAATTTGAACATACAATTTTCAAGACATGTCTAAAGAATAAACATTTTAAATATGTTCTACTGTGAAGTGTAAACAAAAGCCCATAGTTAAGTATGAGAATTAATTCCTTTTGTTATTCTCAATAAAATCAAATTGTTATATGAAATCAACTCCTATATATGAAATTGCCTGATTAAATTTAGATTAGTTTCAAACCTGTACTACTTTATCCAAACAGAAACAAGTACTGCAACTTAAGGAATCAACTATTGTTATCAACTAAGATGAAAATAAGATCTGCATTATTATTGCTAGTTCATCATGCAAGAAACCAGCTAGCAACTGACAGTCCATCATGCAAGAAACCAGCCAGCATCCAGCACAAAAAGCCATGCTGTATACCTGGACATGCCCCCCATGGCATGCAAGCCAGCATATACTTACGTTACAATCATTTTGTGAGGCATGGGGGTCTGTTATAGGCTTGGTAGGCATAGGAAGAGATGAGCATACATCCGATTCATTTGTCAGCTAGAATAAACATTAAAACTGGCATCTACTTTTTTCTAGCAGTAACAATTTTGTATACAATCTGACTTACAATACTGTTTACTTCCTATGAGTCTTCATTACATCATTCTATATGGCAAATCAAAACAAGGCAACAAATAGGTTGCTATCTCGTCACAAACAAAATGTTTAAACCCAAATTTTTAAAAAGTAAGTTTGGTTGATGTTAAGGAGTCATCTATAGAGGTGATTCATAACAAAGAAAAATTAGATTAGTTTCATAGCACAAGTACTTCCTTTAGTCTTTAGTGGTAGTAAATTTAACAGACAAATAAAAAGAGTTATACAAATAACTTGAAATAGATTGCACTAATGTGAAATAACTGCTGTAAGCAGTCAACAAATAAATTTCTGTTATAAAATATGACACATAAGTAATGCTTACAATCAACATGGGAAATGTCAACAAAAACAGTAATTCATTGCAGCTTTAATAGTGTGCAGGCCAAAGAATTCATCGCATTATGATTTAGGTGCATATATCAGCTAGAAATGAGAAAATCCATTGCAAGAGAAATGTGTATAAGAAGCATGAAACTAGGCACAGATGTTAGCAGGTTACACCAATAATGGAACATGTCAGAGAAGCGCTCATGTTGATAGCACTTACAGCACACGCTACTTTTTTGACTGGTGCAGTGGGTGCTGGTAATGTAGGCTGGTCAGTACACTTTTCAGAAACACTCTAAAAAAAATTGGCAAAATGTATCGCAAGTATCAGACAGTGTCTGAGGTGAGTCCTCAGATAAAATTTGTAGCACTCATACGACAAGAGTCATTTTTAAGTCTAGCTCTCCCTTAAGTCTACATCTTGATTTCTATTCATTTTAAAAAAAAACTAAAAAGGGCATAATCTCTTCAAATTTCCAAAAAAATATTTCATAGTAATATAATAAATTATAAAATTGCCACAATAATAAATTAACTATGAATAATAGGAACAATACATAACCGGAGTTAAAAAAAAAATCAAATTTAAAAAATAGAGCAAATTTTTCAAACACACCTAATAAATTAACTATGAATAATAGGAACAATACATAACCGGAGTTAAAAAAAAAATCAAATTTAAAAAATAGAGCAAATTTTTCAAACACACCAGCTTTGGTTGCCCGCACTGTACACTGCATGGCAAATCATTATGACAAACAGCAGGATCAGGGCACAAATCAGCACTACAGTAATGTCATACAATAACAGTGTGCTACATGTGATCTATTCATTCATATTGGGATTCAATGTCTGGGTAACATTATACTGATACACTTTTAGTTTCAGAATTAAGACCTCACTACTAGATTTACTATTAGAGTGTGCATTTGACATTCCTAAACTCTCTTATTATTATGTCAGTGTAGTGACTGTAGAGAGGGCATAAATCTGAAGGGAAAAAGTCTTGGTATTTAACATGACAGTCATGCAGGTATACTCTTGGACAGACTTGGAGAGATGAGTGACCAAGCCAATAACATGCGCTTATAAGGGTAAACTGCAAACAACATCATGTGAAGCATGCAGAGAGAGATGTGTACATACTGATTGCTGGCATCCTTCCCTGTCCCAGTGCTGGCGGTACCAGTCCAGTCCATCTGAACATCTCCCAATGGTGTTACACCATCTGCAGTCAAAGGCAACATTTTTGTGCTCGATGCAACTTTTACAGTCTGATAGACGATTGCATGCTAAAATGGAAAATAGTAAGAAAATGTTAATAAACATTTTTTTATCTAATCAGTCGCCTTTATAATTAACACATTTCTAAAAAATATTAAAACATGAACTAAAAAATGTGGAGAGTGGGTAGACTTGGACCACCAGATTATCATTAGCTTGTAATGTTGGTACCCTTAAGGACATAATAAACCTCATCATATATTAATAGTTTAGTGGGTGTAGAAAGAAGCTGAGAGGGTGGGGTGGGGTGCTGAACAGTTGCCAAATAATTTGACAGAATGGGGCAATTTTCAGAATGGACCATTGTCCCAGTGCCTAAAATCCACCCATACACATAATTAAAAGTTAAAAAATATATATCATAGGTGACATTTTGGTGGGCCCAAAATACATTCATCCATTGGTAAGATAAATGTGGCAATGTGTGTGCTGGGAAATAGTTTAGTTTCAAATTAATTTTCTTATAAAAAAAAGAAATGAACAGACTTACTGGGTAGAGGTTTTAAAACCACAACAGATCCCGATGTAACAGCTTCCGTCCTTATTAGCACTTTGTGATATTCATAAATTGTCCTTCTCTTGATCTCTACAACAACAGTAACAAGCAGTGTGAAGATAAGGGAAACTACAGTGTCAGTGACACAACGAAAACATTTTACCTAATAAAACTTACTGTACTCTGGGACATAAGTATCATTATAATAAGCATCCGAGAGTCCAACTTTGACTGGATGCTCATCAGTGGAAATACTACGGATTGGAATTGGCACCTGCAGAGTTACAAAACTTTATTATACCATTTTTTAGGGGGATATATACAGACATTTAGATACACATGTACACAGCTTAGAGATTGTAATATATTTGATAAAGAGAACTAAAATTAAAGATAAAATGTTACTCACAGATTTGTAAACAAAGTGAATAGTATCATCTTTATGTAAAATGGCTTGAAAGTTAAATAAACCACCTGAAAATTTTTTTTAACTACTGTAAACTTTGATATGAAATAAAACAAAATATATCACCTTCTTAACCTAAGCACATGAAATAATCATTAAGCAACTCCTAAACAGAGTTCCTGACATTGAATATTTGTAAGCCTTCTATTTCAATACAAGCTTGTTTTGGTGAAAGTTATGGCTACACAAAAAAAAAAAAAATCTTCAAGACTAACTAAATAGAATGTGCTTTGCTTACATTAACCACTAAACAGACATGAGTACTCACTGTTGTTCTGATCCCTCAGCATCACATTCTTCCACTCTACTGTAAACTTGGTTTCTATTTTTGAAAAATGAGCAATTTTTTTCTTAATAACTATATGAACAGTCAAATAAATGATGTGAAATTGATTGTTTTAGATACTACAGCCAGAAAAAAATTGACTTAATATACTAAAGATTTAGTAAATATCAGTGTGTAGATAAGGACAGCCTACCATCATTCTTGTAGTAGACACCAGATTCTTTACTTAAAGAAGGATCAAAGTTGGCCATGAGTGGGGCGATGTACTGAGTAGCAGTTAGCCACTGATGTAAGAATGGGCTCATGTAGATGAAACCTGCAATTGGTGAAACACACATCAATACGTTTGGCCCATTTTTTTGGTTACATATATCATTATGTTGACCAAATGTGTCTTACCTCCAGTGGCTATGGTTATATTCTTTACTTCATGGCCATAGAAGTGAAATGGGAACTTAAGTGCAATTACCTGGAAAAAAATATTACCAATTTAGCATTTAACAATTGTTAAATAGCTTTTTAAAAATATCATTTGCTTCTATTAACTACATTCACTTTATATTCCTAAGCTTTCACAATTTACAATATTTGCCTGGATTTACAGCTACTGCATGACAAATATAAAGTAACTTCTAATACACTAGCCTAATGTTACTAGGTCTCATGACAAATATAAAGTAACTTTAGATACACTAGCCTAATGTTACTTACAGCTGCTACACGATGACCTGTGGACAAGGTCTCGTGACGAGGGGTGTCTGCCAGTTCTTGCCAGTACTCTGAAACCTTGTTCTTAAGGACATCAGTTTCATAGTAATCATGATGGTCCTTAATGGAAAAAATTTCTTTCATTTTATAACTGCTGTAGGTGTACTACTTAAAGAATACATACTGGAACAATATTATGTGCAAATGTAACATACATACGTTTAAAAACTAGGTGATAATTGACACCCCTCCTTTCCATGTAAAAAACTGTGTTTTAACTTACATGTATAATATCAGATTCAAAAAATGGATCTACTGTAGTAGACGCAGCTTTGGTAGTTGCTGCGTCACTTGCTTTGTTGAGTGGGGTAGTGCTAGAAACAGTTGAGCCAGCCACAGTGGAGGGTTTGAAGGTAGTAGACAAAGGTGTTGTGCTGCTGTTAGCCGTAACATCTACATTTGGTCTACTACTTCCTGGACAAGAGGAAACAATGTAAGGTAGGTAATTAATTGGCTGAAATTAGTGAGACGAGAAATGACGGTCAGGTAGGTATGCAGGCAAGTGTATATCAAACTTGTGCCTTACACAAGCTGAATACAAATATTCCACTTTTTTTTTATTAGTTACACCCTTCAAACCCTTCAAATTAAAACAGCTATCTTCAAACGAAAAAGCATGTTTATTTTCAATTAAACCAGTGTACAGCAGTTCCCCCCAAGTTGAAATATATAGAAACATTGCTGGCTTGGTAGAATACTAGATAGACTGAAAAGTGCAGTATGTCTAGTGTTTATAAGATCAATAAGCCACGTAAGCACAAATGTGATCCATGCATAGCTAATAAGCATGAGACAACTAACCAGGTAGTGCTGTTGTCTGAGCAGGACTAGACTGGTCAGGTGATACAGGTATTGTAGAGGCAGAGCTGTCTGCTTGACGACGGTATCTTGGATGGGAAGCAAACTTGAGAGCTAAACTTTCATCATAGGATGCACTGATTTTATTGGGATTGATTACTTTGTATGAGGCTTCTGTAAAGAAAGAAAACAGTCAATATACTTTATATTCAGGAAAACTGTAAAGGAAACCAATTCACCAGAACATGATCCATTAAATCTAAAACCAACAGAAACTGAAGCAAAAATTTACAAATAAATCGATGTAATATGATACAGCCAATATACACAACAAAAACTAATTTTCTAACTTTTTGTATGTTACTAATACTAATCACGAAACTAGATCAACAGTGACACATATGCTAGACCATTTGGCATCAAACAACGAGTAGTTAGCAACATAAAAGTATAATATTAGCAATCACAACTAATAAAATTAAATCAAACCATTAGAAAGTTTACTAGGAGCACTCACACCAGAGGAAACTGGTGTCACCTTTTATTTGTCAGTAAACTCAGATAACATGTGGAATATCAATGATATCTCAAGCAAGTGACTAAACAGTTTGCTGTATTTTCTTAATGACTGTTAGTCCATCAAATGTTGCTTTGATTAACCAAAACATTAAAGGAAAGTTTCATAAACTGATATAGATTTTAATATCATGTTTTCTTAACATATTATTATAAAATAATTTTTTGGCAATGCTAACTATAAAACATCAATAGTTTTATTCTATTGCATAAAATCCAGTGTTCTGCAGAAATTATAAGCATTTACAAAGCAACTTATATAATGTGGACTGGAAAAACTGATGAACTATAAAAGTATAATAAAAGCATGATTTGATCCACTGAGTGTTTGGCTAGTAGGCTAAGATTAGGATATAGACTTTTAAGTCAACAACTCGGTGTCAATCCAACCCCAGTAAAACTTTACTGCCCCCGGGGAATATAAAAAACACTAGAGTGTATAATTAGGGCAGTTGGCAGGAACAGAATCAACCACTGCCAGTATCCCTGAATATTAACTCTGCTCTATGTACACACTGAATGGCAGTGGATACATGTTATAGCATAATAAAAAATTCATGGGGTGAACTGACCTAACATTGCCACAGTGAACATTCTCAGTGTACAACAACCATTCAATAGTAGGGTAAAGTATGTGTTGGTTAGGAAAGTCTTATGTATTGTATCTGTGCTTTACCAATTTAAAACATCTATTTTCACAACAAATTATAAGCTCCTGTCTTGTCAGATGATTATAATGGATCATCATCCTGTTCACCCCCAGTAAACAAGTATAGATAGAGCATTTTATGGGTTTGTTTACAACCAAGATGAATAAATCCAATACTAGGTGAACAATAGATGAGTTTTACAGTGGAAGAGACACTTTAGGTTAATGCATGCATGATTGCACCCAGAACATTATTTAGGTAAGAAAAACAAGGTTTTTGTTTATCTAGACAGTATTCAAATTAAATTATAAGTAGTAAGGTCACATGGGATTCATGACTCATATTTTCCATTTTTATTTCATCCATTGCTTAGGTGTTTAATTATAAAATTATTTGTTTAAATGAAGGTTACTGATGTTCAATTTAACTATTTAAAATGGTGGACAGATCACAAGGACTTAACCCCCCCCCCCCCCCCTAAACACAGAAAATATTTTTTTTCTGAACTCCGTTGTCTGAGGACGATAAATATTGATCACCCCCCCCCCCCAAACAAACACACCAAAGTAATAAATTGGCTTGTGTTAAAAACGGGTATTTCCATGTAATACCATTATTCATTGGCTAGTTGGCTATTTAAACTAACAGTGTCAATACTACAGCTATTCCTATCCCAAACACTAGCCTTCACATTAACGCAGGTCTTACAGTAGTGGTAACAACCTAATGTTTGTTAGAGCCCGTTGTCAGACACAGAGATGCGAGAGGCTTTCATCCCTGGGTTAACAGTGTGTAATCATAACGTCTTGAGGCGGTGAGAAATCTGACCACTCAATACAAACAACTCCCCCCATCTTGTCAAGTCAGTCACTGCATTGATTGACATCACGCATGTGCTGTTTACTAGCGTGTGCCATCACCTGCCAATTGAGAGACGTAAATAAGGTTCAAGGATGGTTGAATTACTTAAGTGTCCCACGTCGTAGAAGAGCTCCACCACCGCCCGCGGCAACGATGTCCACAGTTTCACCAAGTAACTTTCAGCGCCTCTGACCTAGACTAGTAAAATCAATTGAGCCGGGCCGAGATTTCTGGGTGTTCTAACACAATAATTCAATTTCACTGACGTCACAATGTGTTAACTCTACAAGAGGGCCGCATGCCAACACACACTCAATCGACAAGCAGCAGTTTTTTAAAAACTAGTTTTGTCCATAGCAATAAATCACGTGTTCTAAGGCTAACCCCGAGAGATGCTGAAAAAAAAAAACCGCCTTCAATTTCGCACTAGCCATGCTATATTTATGACCGTCACATGACCGATACGTTTCAATGTATTAAATTTGTGTATCCTGTTGACCTCATAGCCGGAGGTTTTGTTAATATTAAAGAAACGCATTTAAACATTTGTTTCATTGTATTAAAAAAAAAACTCAGTGCATAAACATGAAGGAAGTAGATCTAGATCTAATAGACTTCTGCGTATGTCGAAATCCTAGGTTATCATTTTGTCCAGAGTATACCAGGAAGTAACTGAATAAAAAATATTTTCGCAACACTAGGCTTACTAGACTTAGTTGGCTTACAATTTTATAAAGTTATAAGAGTTCGTTTTTTTCTTCTGTCGCTTTAAAAACTAGCATTTAGAGTAGGCCTGGACTATATAACGAGTCTTAATGAACTTTTTGATAATCGATAATTCTAAAGGCCAAGTCGTGCTCAGCAGCTGTGGAAGCTGTGTGAACGGTGAGAAAAGACAGATCTACAGCGCCGTACTAGTGAACTAGACGTGTATACCATCAAGCCAAGCTTAACTGACTTAGTGGCTGGGCCCGACACGAGTTGCTGCCCCACCAACCATGAGACTGGGAGATTGGACTACATAATCGACGTGTCTAGCTAACAAAACACATTGGTCCAAGATAAAAATACACAGTCAAACATTACAATATACATGACGGCTACACGACTAAACAAGATAGCAAACATGTACAAGTCAAGAGAGTTGAAAATATGATAGCAAACATGTACAAGTCGGAGAGTTGAAAACATGTACAAGTCGACAGTTGAAAACATGATAGCAAATATGTACAAGTCGGAGAGTTGAAAATATGATAGCAAACATGTACAAGTCGGAGAGTTGAAAATATGATAGCAAACATGTACAAGTCGGAGAGTTGAAAATAGATAGCAGACATGTACAAGTCAGCAAGTATAAAACAAGATAGCAAACATGTACAAGTCGGACAGTTGAAAATATGATCGCAAACATGTACAAGTCGGAGAGTTGAAAATAGATAGCAAACATGTACAAGTCAGCAAGTATAAAACAAGATAGCAAACATGTACAAGTCGGACAGTTGAAAATATGATCGCAAACATGTACAAGTCGGAGAGTTGAAAACATGATAGCAATGTACAAGTCGGAGAGTTGAAAACATGATAGCAATGTACAAGTCGGAGAGTTGAAAATATGATAGCAAACATGTACAAGTCGGAGAGTTGAAAACATGATAGCAATGTACAAGTCAGCAAGTATAAAACAAGATAGCAAACATGTACAAGTCAGACAGTAGAAATAAGATAGCAAACATGTACAAGTCAGACAGTAGAAATAAGATAGCAAACATGTACACGTCAGAAAGTTGAAAACAAAGATCTAGCAAACAGGTCTATACACGCCAGTAAAACTACAGCTTGTTAAAACTGAAATATTGTCTTGAGATTGAAAATAGCTCATTTCAGTCTCAAAAAGGCGCAATTTCCCCGCCATTTTAAGCGAAGAGTAATGGCATGACCTTTAACAGACTGCTGCCAATAAATTTAGACACGCTTATAAACTATTCATTATTGGTAGCAAGGAGAAAAAGTATGCTGTTGTTAAATCTCGTGTCAACAAGACAGGGTGGGTGGGTGTTCATTTAAACGATTCATTATTGGTAGCAAGGAGAAAAAGTATGTCGTTGTTGAATCTCGTGCCAACAAGACACATTGCTTTAACCTGCCGTGTACGTGTTAACCTGACCTCGACAAAAAAATGTCTCCTGCGTGTCAAACCTTTCTATTGTATGTAAAGCCATGCTTCAACTCTTTAATCAATGACAAAATCACACAATTGGGTGGGGGAATTTCCGTTTCCATTCCCAAAGAGAAATAAACAAATGTCGAGTCGCTTCCCCATTACATAAAAGACATTTGAAAAAAAAACATGATCAGCATGCTATTTGCAGGACAAACTGTAGTTTGTAAGGAAGACGAATTGGGCTGAAGGCATTGATGATTTAAACAGACAGCAATAAAAGCCGCTTGAAATCAAACTATGGTCGTTTAAACAACCTCTTCAGCAGGGCCTACAACAGCTGATCTGAACTTCAGTTGATTTCAGTCACAAATGTGTTTAACCTAACGCGTAAGTTGTGCCGGATTGATGTGAAATATCCAGCCAAATCTCGGCGCTGGCGGCAACAGGCGTTGATGTAAGATGCAGTGGTAATAACTTGTGACACCTCGGGGGGGGGGGGGGGGGGGGGAGAGGGAATCAATGCATGGCAGGTGCCTCGGGCTTAGGATTTGTTAAGCACATTTTTACCACACTTTCGCATCAACATTACACAACAAAGTTGTGGAATAAGATGGGGAATATAGAAAAGACGAGCTAGCCTGGTACGAAATGACGTGAGTGTAGTTTGTATCACCACAGTAGCGGCTACCAACTAACAGCGTATCACAGGTAACTTGATGCAACCTGCCAACAAATGGAACGCAATCGATGATGCCTCGGCTCATTTCAATACACTAGGCACGTCACTAGTTCATTTCTATTGCCGACAAGTCACGAGAAGCTGTAAATATCACTGAAAAAAAGACGCTGCATACACAAATAAAGCTGAATAAATATATAACAACCTCCACCCCCACGCGTGGACGTTATAAATGTATGAATCCAAA